TACACATGTTGATCTACCATCCAGCGGCTAGGATACACATGTTGATCTACCATCCAGCGGCTAGGATACACATGTTGATCTACCATCCAGCGGCTTGCTACACTACGGGTTATGGGTTGAGCCTATCCCCTCAGGGTTGAACCTAACCCCTGGTACTGGGTGGCATTCCCCACCAACCAACCAGGAGGGACAAGTTGACTATCTCAGCTGGTGAATGTGCAGCGTGCCTCAGGAGGTGTGTGGGCTTGATTGGGGACTGTGGGGGGTTGAACCCACAACCTTCTGAATGCTGCTTTTGTGCTCAACCAACTGAGCTAGGCTTCATCTGTCCCTTCTAGTTTTGTCTTTCTTTGTTTTTTTTGTCATCTCCTGCTTCAGCATTACCATTTGCACCTTTCTCTCACTCTCCATGAACTTCTTCCCCTCGGTCATATCATACACATGTTCCTCGCTATCTTTTTAGCCCCCGTTCAAAGGGTGAGAGAAAGGAATTGTGCAGTGGAAGAGGGTAGGCACTGGGTAGCCCCAGAGGCAATGGTCTCATGAAAGTGCTTTAGTGCAGAACCACATGGCAGCGATGCACGGAATTTGACAGTGGATCAGATCGTCTGCATCACGGACCCACCCTTCCCTCATGTGGCTCCATGCACTCCACGTAGAGCCATTTGTTAATGCGCAGATGTGTCCATGGTATCCCCCCCACCTCCGGGAGCCCCAATGACCATAAAATTGAAGTTTACTTGTTTCAGTATGCACTGTTTGCCGTATTCCGTTCTCCATAGTCACTGGACTTTCTGGATTGATCAGTTCCTTGAGCTTACTTCTCTTATTAGGACCAATACATCCGTGCCTCCTTCGTGGGCGGCGGATTCCCACCCCATGCCAAGCTTTGTCAAAATGCCAGCACAGCATTTTTGTTTTAGTTCTGGCTGGCACCCCCAGCCATTTTGGTATGGCTGCCCCGGGCCTCCTATTGTTTCGGAGAGGCTCCATCGTGGTTCTCAAGTTGGCTGGGGCATGTACTGGTGGTTTAGTGCTGCTCGTTGAGGAATGTTGACCTTGACCATCACTCGCTAATATCCCGTCGGGACAACTTGTTCCCACACGTTGACTTAGAGTGTATCCTTTGTTTGCCCCCTAACTCATTCCCCTTTCGTTTTTCACTTACGAACTCCCTTTTTTTTTTTTTTTTTTTTTTTTCACAAAACAGGGCCTTAGGGTCCTGGCTCCTTCTATTCTGGGGAGCGTCAGTCCGGTTCCTTTTCCACCGG